ACGAATTTCAAAATTTGTTTGTTGAATTCTAAAAACGTAATGTTCACAATTTTACAGTTTACACATAAAATGTTTAAAATTTGCTCCAACAATTTTTTAAATTTACGCGTATAAAGAGATGTAACCAGTTTCCTCTCCTAATGTGTGCAAAATCAAACACTGTCTGTTTACTTTTACATATCAAATTTATCGCGTAGAGCAAAATTACAACATAAATTGTTTAAAGTTGAAGAAATATGAGCAGTTAATGTTTATTATTATAAATAGAAAATGTATTTTTACTTGCAAACTTTTTGCAATTTTAAACATTTCATGTGTACACATACATAGGTGTATATTTAAAACATATCATGTTCAAAACCAAATCTTGAGCATCTTGTGCGTATATTTACACACATTCTAGTTGAAAAATAGACACTTTTCAGTAGTAGTTTTACATGGACTTTTTAGTGTGTATAACAGGAAAAAGTAAAGGAACGCAAAAAAATAAAAAAATTTTGCCCAAGGAATGCCAACAACAAAACTAATGTCAAATAAAAATGGACAAACAATTTAGGAAATTTTTTTTTGTTTTTTTTTGTCCACGGGTTTGGAAAAAATGTTTTCAGTTAAAGAGTGAACACTACGCGACAAAATTGAAATAATATGCGGCAGGTAAAACTTATATATTTGGAATCGGGAGAACATACCCTTTCACTTGACGCCAATACACCATTTCCTTGGAGCTTGATAACTAAAGTCAAAGTTTTAATAAATAGGACACAAGAACATATACTAATTCTCTTTGTATTTCAATCACTCCGAATCGAGGGTTAGAACTCAGCCGGGGCCAACGAAAGATCTAAACTTTACATTTTTTAAACGAGTTTTTGGAAATATGGTAGAAATGTAGCAGCAGGGGGTCTACCGAAACCAGTAAATTTATGAAAGTGAAAGTGGTCTACGAGAAAAAGGTTTGGGAACCTCTGCCAGATTTGGGAATGCCAGAAACGATTTCTAATCAATCGATAAACCGTTTTTTAGCTCCACTTGACAATGTGTTTTCACCTATTTAACGGCAAATGCTATTGAATTTGACATAGTGAAAACCAGCCTTAACTTCCGCCATTATATTTTTTGACCTAGCTACAGTCAATAAAGAATTTTACTTGATAATAAAATTAGTTAAAACTTTCAATGCAATAAATTATTGCAATAGAATTGATTTAAAAAATTGAATGTTAATTCAAAAAAAAATTTCTATGGCACTATTTCTTCGGAATCAATGCAATGAAATTTTACTAAGCATCCGACTTTCAAAATTAATGCATTGAACTTCTTATTTAGATTAGATAAATTCCATTAATATTTACATTAACATTAAATTACTATGCATTACAAAATTAACGCATTTATCACAACTCTGATACATAGCATCTACATATATATGTAGACCGGGCCCTTAAATATCAGAACCATACCTGTTCATTATTTTTTTTTTTACAATAAAATTGTTCCTGCGCTATAGGCTTTTATTAGAAATATATTCCGATTCGTGTTGATTGTTTCTGACTCTATACATTAAAGAAAATGATTACAAGCTTTTGAATTAATACAATTTACTTTGGTAAAGGGGCCAGTGATTTTTCAGTCCGAGCCCCGAGTTTTCTCTCGACGTCCCTGTACATACGAATATAAACGGGAAAATCAAGGCCAAACAAGTAGTAGCATTAGAGTAAAAACAACACTGGCGTGTACTTTGTTGCTGCTTCTGGTATCAAAAGTGTCAAAAATTGTTCTGATTTTTTTTTTTCTAAATCAAAGTATGACATGTGAAATACAAAAAAAAAAAACAAATAAAATAAAAAATATAAAATTGATATTGCGAAAAAATAAAAATTGTTGCAACTTTCTTTCTTAGTAAATTTGTTTGCTTCTCGAAGCATTGATCCATCCTTTGCAAGGCCCAGTAATCAGCGGTTGTGCTGCTGAGTTGGGCGAACGTTCCAAATGCTGCTATTCAATCGCTGGCTTTGTATGGAAAAAGGTTTCACATGCAAAATGATTTTACCAATTTAGAATTTTTATGAGAATAAATTAAAAATATTTGACACTTTCGAGACCAAATAATTTGAAAAAAAAATCAGCTGCTCTACTGATACTCTCTGTTAAATGTGCCTTGGTGAAAATATATTTTTAGTAAAGGAGTGAAAACACGCCGCTCTCCTCTTCTTTGCATTCTCCCAACTTTATTTCACTTTCTTTGTGTGCCCAAAAGCTTCAACTTTTGTTTGATGACCTTTGGATTCCATTATTTTCTGCGTGCGCCATTTTTAGTGCATTGAACGCATGTCAAACACAGTAATATAGCAACAGTTATATGCGAATTTGAAGAAAAACATTGATAAGCCCAGCAGCAGCCGACGAAACCGAGTGTCATAGAGGTTGTTGTCATAGACAGTCATTGCTCTCTGAGGCTTCAACCCACCACCACCACCACCATCACCCATCAAAGAAGTGACTACTGTCGGTCTTTGTGGCTCTTTAATGAAGTTAACTTAAATGCCATGCAATTCGATTTTCTTGCTTTGTTATGTGTCCGACTGGCTGGAAACGCATTCCTAAATTTCATCTTCGCCCAAACGCCCCCAGCAACGCTACCATGCCATCCGTACGGCGCAGACGCAGGAAAGGCTGAGTTAAGAATAGCATAAAACCGAAAAAGCTTAACAGCACCGGCTGGGACACTAACTATTGCCATGTCAATTGTGTCCCTTCCATAGGCGTCGGCACGCAATGTCGTACGCACATTTACAGACTGAGCGTTAAACACAACAAACAGCTGAAACATGCCGGGTCATGTGCTTTGTGCTTATTCGATTACACTGTGTCATGTGTCTAGGGGCTGAGGATGTGGTCGATATGCAAAAAAAAAAAAAGTTTAAATACTAAATACTAATTACAATACGTAACAAAATTAAAAAGTAGCTTAACTTGGAATTTCACAGAGCACAAATTGTGGGCCTAATTGTGTAATAAAAAACTGAATACTCAAAACCCCAATTACACCCCCAAAATCTGGAACCATTTTTTGGAGTCTCATAGTATTTTTGCCCTTTAGCATTTCTTAACCGATCCTTAATTTCTGCTGAAGAGGTTTTAAGTACGCCCATTACAATATATGTATGTATGTTCGGTTTGGCGTTACGTGACCCTTGTTTGACAAAAAGGTAAAACAAGGCAGTGTCTACACACACGCGCCACGTTAACTTTTGCCGTAGAGCTACGGTAAAAATTACCGTAGACCTGCGGTAAAATTACGTGGATAATGTGTTGCCGCAGAAGTGGGGCGGAACTTCTTTAAACGTAGGCGGCCTTCAGTCGCGCTTAGGGATTATAAACCTTACTACTCAGAATTCTCCTTTCTGTGTTGCCGGAGAAGTGGCACAAAACTTCTTTCGGCGTAATCGTTATCGTTAATTTCTTCATGATCTAATGATCGGATTTAAACCACCTGTGAGGTAACACATTTCTTTTGAAAAAAAAAAAAAACAAATTATAGAAATCGGTTAACGTGGTCCAAAGTTATGCGGTAACATACATAAAATATATATATGTATATATTCCGACGAGTTGATAACCTTCTTCTTTTTGTGAAGTTGGTTAGTAAAATAAAAATATTCCGACGAATTGATAACCTTCTCCTTTTTTAGAAGTCGGCTAAAAAGAATAATTCTTTTTCTATCGGAAAGGTGGGTCCCATTATAATTTGGTTTAGATACGATCTATAGAGCCGGTTGTTTTTTGCTAAAAAATTACTTATTGGAACTATATTTAATTGCGAATAGTATGTAGTCCCACCATATATTAATCCTCTTTTTAGCAAGATATAAAAATTGAAGATTGATCGGTAACATTTTTTATGGTGTCATTCCTTTTCATCATATGTAAGTAATATTATTGGGACATACCTTTAGTAAGTTCATAAAATAGGCGGAACAGAATTTAGCGCAAAACACATTTCCAACATGCATTGTTTTAAACACGGATGCGGGTACACAACATCTTCAACCCTAATTGCCAATTGCAACCGCTTCAATACCAAGTGCCAATAACAAAAGCATTGTCAGGGGGGGCGGGAGAACGTCACGGCAGTTCGCTGCAGCCAGTCTGACAGTATTGGAAACTTGTGCTTGTGTATGTTAATTCGCGTGCGCGTAATTGAAAGTGAATTTGTCAATTTGATGGATTCGGCTCCAATTGAAACCCAACCGAATGAAGTGCCGAAGTGCAGAACAAAAGGGTGCATACACGGAGAATGCAACTAAAAACGAAAATAAAATGTGAAGGGTATATAATTGGCTGGTTCACAAAGTGCATTAGTAATTATGTACATATATACCATGCAAGATGTGTGTAGACCAGCAGGAAATAATAATTACGAAGAGGACACATAGGCCAAAGCGGACAAAATATAAATAAAAACAAAAATAGAAAATTGTAGAAGAAGCCATCAAACCAGAATATGATCCCACCGAGACTGCCATACCTATGCCACACAGTGTAGATGACGGCAACAGCAGTAAGTAGTGGTGTTGGCAAGAGCTAACCAGGCAGCAAGACAGCAAGACAGCCGGCCACACCTATTCGAGCGGAGCAATCACACGAAAAATTATTGAGCTGCAAATGTGCAGCAAGCTCGAACTGACACAGTAGGCGAGAGCGGGTGAATGCAAATCGAGCTGCGACAATGGAATCTCATAAACTTCGAATATAATTTGCCAAGATATCGAGAAGTCACGCTTGCACAGCCACAATGCATTCTTGCGATCCTCAAAAGCAAACAAACAACTCTACATACATATGTACATATATACATACGAATACATATGCATTCTCAATGTTTTTAAAAAGGCAGTTCAAAATCTCTTCCAAGAGGTCTGATTCATTCTTTATTAAAGCTTAAAATATTTTTAGTTGAAAGTTTCTGGATACGATGCCAGTAAATACTGGTTACTAACCTTCAATGCATTCAAATCGATATCATCCAATGAGCAGTTCACAGATGGGGCAAGTTGCTGCTGGTGCGCCATTTTGATTTGCTATTTTCTGTTGTTTCCTTTCTTTTTGCGTTTTGTTGTTTGTTCACTTCCCTGCCTTTTAAAGTAATAATTCTTTTATTTTTATTTTATACTTGTCTTTTGTTACTGTTATTCACTTTGTATATTTCATTTGATTCTATTCTATTTGTATTTCACTTTATCTCGCACTTTGCACTTTTTGCTTCACTTCATTTTCTGTTCTTCTCTTTATTACATTTCTTGTTAGTTTAATCACTTTATATCTACTTCTTTATTATCTTTGTTGTATTTGTGTTGGAATCTTTCAAAAAGTTTCTAAATGCGAAAAAATTTTATTATTTTAATATATCTTTTATATGTTGTATATATGTATGTATTTACATGCATTTCCTCATTCACGATAAGGAACAGAAGAAACTTGTTTGTCGAGAAATTTTAATCTAAAAATTCTATTTCGATTTTCCACCTTTTTTGGGGTGGGGAACAGCAGCAACAGCGGCTTCTCTCTTTTTGCTTTCGAGTACTTCTTTTTAGTTTTGCTGCTTTCACTATTCTCCTCCTAATCTTCTCACGAATTTTTTCATTTTTTACCGACTTTTTTCTTTGCTTTATGCTCTAGTAAAAATTTCTTTTAAAAATTAGCAATTTTCCACGTCTCAGCCATTTGGGAGGTGGCACTGGAGCTGATGGAAACGATGACGGCAGCAACCAACAACCACACAAATCGAATGGAGTTTGGAGCAGATACGTTGTTGTTGCTCGCGCTACCGCTGAAGTATTTATTGGTACTGTTGTTGTTGCAGCCGTTATTGGTAGCGGCTGCGGCAGGTAGACAACTGAAAAGTGCCACAAGAAAAATAAGTGAAATTTTCTATTTCATCCGACGCGACGAATATTAGCACAACGTTTTTATATTAATTTCTGCTGCGACGCGTCAATTGCACTCAGTAAATTAAAAGTTTTCCACCGCCTGCACTTTTCCACATAAGTTCCGGTTTGTAATTTTTTCTCTCAATTAAGAAAAAAACCAATTTAAAAAGACTTTTCCTCCACGCCCGATTCCTTATTATCTCATGAACAAATGAAGAATGAATGAAAATTTCGTTGGTCGAGTTCGGTGTTGGTCGGCGCAGCGAAACAGACTGATGGCGAAGAATGAGTGGAAGAGCAGGAAAGTACGAAGACAGATAGGGCGACATCTGTGAGTGACATTCAAAACACAACTATTTGCGGATGAGGCAAGTTGGTAGTAGTGCTTATAAAAGATTAGACGAAATATGAAAACATAAATATCGGACTGCGAAAACCTAAAATAAATTATGCACAAAATCGTATATTTTGGTAGAAAATTGAGTGGACGTAGAGAATCGAATTACTTCTGCAAATGCTGCTACTCATTGCATTTCGGCTATCTTCTAATTGATTTACGTTCTTTGGCCACAGGAAACAGGAACTCTGTCAAAATTGTTTAAAAAGATATGGCATTACTGTTTTGATTTAGCGATGGATAGAGGAAGGAAATTGTGATTTTATTTGGATGGTTAATTGATCTGGTAAGACGGAAGCAGCTTGCAAATTTACGAACGGCTTCAATAGATTTATCAGAGTGTAAAGGCAGACTTTCAAATCGGCCTCAAATATTTTGTAAAGATTCTGATTAAAAAGCTTAAAATGTTGGTTAAATTTGCAGAATCTTTATAATTTTACGATAAAGTTTGAAATATAGATTTATATGGTGTTTGTTGTAAAACCAGCTGATAGATAGATTTTATAAAGAAATAATAAACATAATAAAAGACAAATAGCCAAATCTGGTCAAAATATCGCACTCCTATTATTTTGTCCACCACTATACATTTGTAAATCCAACCTGCGTTCTTTTGATTATAGATATGTAGTCCGAATTTCGGAGGATTTAGGAAGTAACTTTAATTTACAAAAAAAAAAAAAAAAATTTCGGAGGATACGAAAAACCAATGATCTCAGTAGACCCAAATGGAATCGAGTGTGTATGAAATTTATAGATTGGACTTAAGTGTTAATCAATTGACAATTCTGAAGACATTTAGTAGAGGAAATTAGGGGCTATCAACTATGACCTCCTTGAAAAGTATTTAATCGGATTCCTCAAGCCAAAACCAACAGAGAAAAGTGCGACTCTTCTCTCAACGTAGCGCAAAAAACACAATTTGAAAAATAAGTATATGCAATTGCAATTAAATATTTTAAATTATAGGTAATTTATGCGCAAATCTAAGTTTCGCTGAACGATTGCACGCCAAGTTAACTTTTCTATTTATTATTGCGACCCCCAAGTGAGACATTCACAATTTGCTCAGTTTTACCCTTTTCATATAAGATGGGCAACACTTAAATCCTAATAATCATTAAATCTGACGTTATGTTTAAACTTGTTTTTTTCTTCTTCGTTGTTTATGAGCACTTTTTGTCCCCAACTGCTCCACCGCGTTGTTTGCTTATGTGTGGCGCGGCTTAGCGCGGAGATCAGCGCCATTAAAAGTAGTTCTCGCCAACAAAATCCGGTCGCAGTTTCATTTCAGTTTTGAGTTGGCATCCGTCGCGAACGAACGTGAGTTTTTTGGATTGCGGACAGCGCGAATAATTAAATCGATTTTGGAGAATTGGAGAAGTATACATACATACATAGTCGCTCAAGAGAGAAATATTCAAAGCATATTATATCGTGTATTAAGGTACAAAAACAAATTGAGAAAAAGCCCGGTTTATTCTTGCCACGAAAAGCTAATGAAATTTTAATATGTATTTAATAAGTCGAGTGTATAAACCTTTAATTATGAATTGCAAGTAAAAACGTAGGCTAATTGGAAAGCCAAGCATAGCGAGGGCCTTAAGCGAGAGTCTTACGGGGCCCCAAGTGTTTTCGAATTGCTAAAATTTAACTGTGTGGATATGTATGTATTTTCAATTGACTGCGCCAAGAGCGCTGCTCAAAAACTAGTTTTTTTAGCGCACGCGTCGCAAAGCGGCAGGGACGACGACTGAGCGTGAGTTGAGCGAAGAAGAGCAGCTCCATATACTGGAATTTGTTGTAAACGCTGGCGTTTCGTGGCCGGCGCGGCGGGCTCTGCTTTTTGCCAGCTTAACTGGCGCTGCTGCGGTCATGGCTGCTACATACATATGTCCATACATACATACATACATATGCACATACATATACATATATTGCATTGTAAACAAGAAAAGAAGGAGCAAAAGAATAACCCACTACACGGCATAGGAAAACGAAATAGTAAATACTGCAGCAGTCAGCAAAAAGTCAGGTAACTGCGCAGCAAGCAACGCTGAGCAATATTGGCTTTAACAACGACGCAGCTGCGCGTCATCAGGAAAATAAAAACAAAAGCGGAAACAGAGCCCGACGAAGCAGAGTCACATAGACCGGCAGCAGTAGCGTAGCGTAGCGCAGCAACAACGCCGCAGAAAACATTCTCTTCTTTGCCGTCGTGGAGTTAACAACGTACCTATTATTTCTGGTTCAAGAGCGTCGTCGTGTTGAAAAATTCCAAATTTGCAGTGTTTTTCGGGTTTAGTGTTTTGAATTATTTTGCATACATATAAATAATACAAATTATTTAAACTGAAATTGTGTTACACAAGTGCCAATTGTAGTTCAAATTGGTCGGTGAAGGTACTTAAATACTCGCATACCTACAAACGTATTCACACAAATACAAATGTTCTGTGAATAAGTGAAATTCATAGTTACCGCCATCTTGCATTTCCGCCGTGTTGTTGTGCCATTTACCAGTTGCTTGCTATTTTTGCCACTGTGTAAAGTCAATGACAAAAAAAGTGGATCGCCAGAAGTCTTTGCGAACAAAGCGATACGCGTTAAAAAAATTAGCGAAAGAACAGACTGAGCGAGATTCGATGCTAGATGCGAAAAGTCACTTAAACCTAAAAATATCAAAAACAAGTTTTGTTAAAAATGCAGTTTTGTATGCGCAGAAATATGTATATTTTTTACTTTTCTTAACCATAGCTGCGTTTATAAAACGAGGCAAAGGTAAAAAACAAAAAACAAGAGGAATTTTCAGGTCCTTAATAAATTTATTAATCAAAATATTCAGATTTTTTTTTTTTTTTATTTAAAAACATCTCGTTTGCGGTTTTATTATTGCGAATGTGCTTTGTATGTATGTATGTATTTTCCATATTTCGCGAACCGTCCATGTTCGCGCTCCGCTTTGGGGGAAGCAGGTTAAAAATTCCTCAAGCTGTCTACTTGTCGACTGGCTTTTCTGGCTGTTTCGCTATGTGGCATGGCACCTCTCGGTGGAAAAATAATAGCAACACCGCGTTGTAAGCTATCCGGTCGCGTGTTTATGAAACTTGCTCCATGTTGTGTGCCACTTTCGGCTGAAAACATTGCAGATTGCAAGCTAAACTTTCGATTTAAGTCCGATTGCATAGCGATCTTGCTGCACTAAAGTGGTGAAAATAGCTGATGGCTTCTATGCAAAGTAGATTTTGTTTCGAAAGGAAAGCTGTGTAATAAAAAATTGGAAATTAATCGCTATTTTGTGAATTAATGGCTATTGTTGTATAGAATTACAGATGAAGTTGTAGCGCGAAAGTAAACTCCGTTATATACATACATACATACATACATATATATATATATATGTATATATACATATATATACATACATATACCGGCATGCACGTATGTAAGCATACATTTGTATGTAGTATGTACCTGAGGGTGGTCCTTAAGAAATCAAATAAACGATTTTTTTCAGTGTCACACCCTCAATCGATAACACCTCGGTCACAGATATCACATATAAATTTTGGTCCCGATTGGAGTCTGTTAAGACGACTTCGTAGGGTAATCTGAACTTTGACCCCTGTGCGACACGCCTTGACCGTCTCCAATCGGGACCAAAATTTATATGTGATATCTCCGACTACAGTAGCATCGAGGCAGGGGTTGAGACTTAAGAAATTTGAGTTGAGACTTAAGAAATTTGAGTAAAAATGTGCTTCCTACATTTAAGGACCACCTTAATGTACTTACATACTAAGTATGTACATACATATGTAATTGAAACTGCTAATAGAAAAGGGGTATTGTAGTTGTTTTAACAACATTCAGCAGCTTAAAAACAATAACAACAACAATATAACCACAACCACTACCAAGTGGTGAGCCACCAAGATCGGTAAGCTCCACCACACCAAAGGCAATATAAAAAAAAAACCATAGCCGAAGAAAATAGTGAAAACGCATTCAGAAGAGGAGGTACATACATAGTACGAAGAAGATCGAAATAAGGAACATCAAAGCAAGAGAAGCATGTACATACATACCTACATATAGATAAAGTTAAATAACACACTAGAAAAAACTGTGAGCACGAGAAAATATATAAAAAATCTCGTTTTTCGGGTCCATCTTAAATAAATTCTTTTCACTGATTTACACAACCCGTTCGCTTGCTTCTACGTTTCCAAGGTAATTTCTTGATCAATTGTTATTCCGTTTCCAGCAGCACACGTTCGGTTGGCTAACTTCTTACTTGCCGGTTTTACTTCATAAACACATACAGACACATACAGACATGTTTGTATGTACGTACTTTTGAGCAACGTCGGCGAAAAGGTAGAAAACGAAATACGCAAAACAGAAAAAAAACAAATAAATAAATAAAATTATAAGAAGAAAGAAACAACCAAAATTCAAAATCACTAGCAATAATAAAAATAAAAGCAGCAACAACAAGTGAATTTTTTGAGCGCCCATTGCCTTCAGTTACATAGCTTGTCTGCAGCAGCATCTCAACTTGACCTTTTTGGGTATATTCGTTTTAAGCCACAACAACAACAATAACCAGCATTTGGCCGCCAGTAGCTATTAGCACAAGTGAAGCCAGTTAGAAAGTTACCAGTAGCACAACAGCAGTGACTATTCACTAATAAATTTATTTCCCCTCCCCACACACGGATTAAAATAAAACCTTCACGCTGGATTTGGGATACTACGAAGCTGTTAAAGGTAAGAAATTACAATTCAAATTCATTTGTAGATCTTAAGTAATTTGATTCCTAGAGAGAAAATGATATATGCACATACATACATACATACATAGTACATACATATCGTCGCCTGGATAAAATATTGTCGTATGTTACTTTCGGCAGGTTTTGGGAAATCGCGATTGAAGTTTCGAATGCAGTTTCTTAAAAACTCGAAGATAGATTTTCTCCAAGTCCCGGAGAATGTTACTAGCTCACACAATTCTAGAATTTTTTTATTTTTATTGTTTATCTTTAATTAGTTTTGAGTTTATGAAGCATTTTCTTTAGTAAAATTTAGTCGTATGTTAGGTACATTTGTCATCAATTTTCCAGACACTTTTTGTGTATTTGTACTAAAGTAACGATACTTTTTACTCACAATTTCGGAAACTAAAGGGCTGTTTAGATACGACTTTTGCTTCGATTTGCTTCAGAGTTCCGCAGAAAGCAAAGCGAAGCAAAATCATGGGCAACTCTCAACTTTTGCTCGCTTTGGCAATCAGCTGTTTACATGTACAGTAAAACCCGCTTAAGTACCTCACTAAAAATGTCAGCGTTTTGAGGTAATTATAATATTTAATTTACATAAATAAGTCCTTGAATAAAACATGAACATTTAATGAAGTAGACGTAATTTAAAGCCAAGATCGTAGCATTATTTAAACAAGTAAACACATAAAGGAAAACTTTATTAAAAAAAAACAGATAAAGCAATGTTATGCCATTTTCACAAGAATTAAATTGAATCATTGATTATACATATTTATACATACACAAACAGGGATTATCATTTTGGACCAAATTCTAAATGATATTGTTTGGCACTTATGTTTTTTTTTTTAATTTTTACAATTTTTCAAGTAAAAAAATTCATTCCCTACCAAATACCGTAGAAACTTAAAATATAAGCTTAAAATTTCACGGAACACTGTAAAATTGTATCGAAATTTCAAACTTGATTTTCAGAAGTGTTCAATTTTTTTATGAGTATGCAGTTTTATGGCCCATTCAATTTTAGTGTGATAGTGCATAAGTTTCAAGTGGCGAAAAATTACCGTTGATTTTTTAGAATTTTTGCCGAAGGTGTGTAGCGCTGGCACTGAATTTTAAAATATGCAAATGTTGGAAGAAATTTGAAAAAAAGCACTTAAAAGGGGACAATTATAAGTAAAATGGTAAATGGGGTACGAAAATATAGGTACTTAGGCGGGTTGGGTACATAAGCGGGAGGTACTTAAAAGGGTGATTTTTTCCAGAATACATTAAAAAATTTACGGTGCTCAAAAATGTTGGTAACTTAAGCGGGTTAGGCACTTAAGCGGGGGGTACTTAAGCGGGTTCCACTGTATCTTTTCTCACGTGCTTCCATTTGCATTTAAAGACAAAAATAAGGTAAATACGAATTATTATTGCTAGCATTAATGCATATTACTATATTGTTATCTATTTTACACCGATAAGATATAGAGGAGAAGGAGAACGCAGAAGCTGCCAAGCATTTATTATAGCATACCTTATTCATGCTTTGTTTTAAAGTTCGAACTGTCAAGCAAAGCGAGGAGAGTCGTATGTAAACAGCCCTTAGAGGAGATCTTCAAAAGTGAATAACGCCATATTCAAGATTTTGATTAGTTTAGTATGACTACATTATTAACTCAATTTTAACTAAATTACCGAACAATTTTTGGTCAATATCTCGGGACCTAAAGAAGATATCCAAAGAAATGTATGTATGTATTTACACCCATAAGTATGATTTGTCAGAAGAACGCATTTAAAAACTAATACATTTTTTGCCTATTAAAAACTGAAAATACAATTAGGAATCCATTTTGTTCCTTCAAATAGTACATAGTAAGTATTGTATAAAATCAGCACTGAAAAGTTAGATAAATTGAATAGTAGAGAGCGGGCATGTGAGCATGTTCATTACGTGCATTTTAAATAAGTTTCGAAGTCAAAAGATTATATGCGCGTTGCCAGCGGAAGGTTTACCTCGAAAAAAATGGCATACATATGCACATATATCCAACTTATTTAGGGGCCAATTTGGCTGCTTTTATTAATACATACATACCCTTGTAGTCAGCTGATTGAGTTAAGTAACATTTTGACCAGTTTTGGCTTTATTTCTTTAATTTATTAAATGTTTATATTTTTGTTATAAAAGTGTAACACTTAAAATAACCAGCACCACATACATATGTAAATCCTCATTTCACACTTCGTACAAAAGTTATAAAAATTCAACAGACTTTAACCATCACAGCCAAAAATGTTAAACTATCGGTATGAAGCCCATTAGCCTATGTTAGTAACGTCACGTCATGTAACATCAAGTCAGATTCTTCTCCTTCCTATTTAGCACTTCAACCGTTTGTCGGTTTGGGCCGAGACCAAAAAGCTTCTCCAATTGCCTCTCTCCTGTGCGTATTTGCGTCTGCACTTGGTCCCTCCGTTGCGTTCGTAGGCGCCTTTGCTTTCGTTGTCCACCCATGGGTGGTGCAGAGTCGAAGGATCTTTTCACCGGAGCTTCGTCATCCATGCGTACATCACATCCTAGCCAGCGCAATCGCTGTATCCGTAGATCTTGCGTATAATAGTTCTGTCGGAAGCCCACAAAGCCTTCTGATATTTGTTCGACATCGTCCACGTTTCTGCGCCGTATAAAAGGACGGGCATGATGAATGATTTGTAGAGCGTTATTTTTGTTCGTCGAGAGATGGCTCTGCTTTTCAATTGCCTAACGAGTTCAAAGTAGCAAGTGTTGGCAAGAGTTATTCTTCGCTTGTTCTCCAGGCTGATTAAGATTTTACGACACTTAACACGCCTTGTGAATCCCCAAATTGTATTTCGTATTCTACAAAACATTAGATACAGTTAACAGATTTAGGGACGTTTTTCCAAGTAGTAAATCGAAAAAGCAACGACAGTGTGGAAAATGAGTTGTGTATAGAAATTCGCTGCTGTCAAAGTTCCCAGTGTAAATATGTATTGTAGTAACAACCAGCAGAAAATGCAAAACATCAAGCTAACAGACAAGATGTTGTCTAACAGCAGCCAGACGAGAGTCACTCAACTAGACGGCCGCGCCTTTCACTGCGCTTTTTGTATGGCCACAATGTGCGAAACGGAGCGTAGCGCCCAAGATCGAATTCTATTATTTAGCATTGTGTTTGCACCAGAATAATGGACAAAAATGCGCAAACTCCGTACATGCATACATACATACATATGTATGTAAACATTAGCATTGTTGTTCTTAACTGTTTTTGAGCGTAAAAAATATAAGTTAAAAAAAGAGGAAACCAAAATCTATTTTGCGGATCAAAAGAGATGAGAGGGTCGTAGATAGATACCTTAACAGCCAACTAGCAAAAGCCTGCGCTGCCAAGCGTATCTTAGAAGGCGCAAGGGAACACGATTACCGGCCTGAGAGAAATAGCAGAGCAGCTAAACAAATCTCCAACTTAGTGTAAATTCTGACAAGCGCCTCACTGGGCCATACAGGCTTAGCCTACATAGTTAATATGACTATCTACATACATATGTATGCATGTCTGTATATATGTAAGTATGTGTGTCAGTCGAGTATATAGATTTTTACTTATGTGCACCTGTATGTATTAGGAATGTTAGTCCCGGAATCCCGGGATCCCGGCCTTTTTAGGGTCCCAAAAATCCTGGGACTCTTGGCAAGTAATCCTGGGATATTCGGGATTTGTAATTTGCACTGATGGCAATAATAGAACCTCCTTTTCTTGACCAGTATTGGCTATATTTCTTTTTTTATTTAATAACTAGCCGGCCTCGTATGCGCGATTGACAGCTAAACAGGTTGCAACCCAACTAAAAAATAATACATTATTGCGCATCTGGAGGCCAAGCCCTTCCATTTGACACCTCATTTCTTGTAATCTAACGAACAGCCCAC